CTGTGTTTTAGAACCAAGTAACAGGAGACAAATAATGATACATGAGGGGTATTTAGAAGCTTACAAAACAAATAATTTCATTTGGATGAATATTGTAAAAAGGCATGGAAGTTTCTTAATAATTTTTAAAATGCATATTTTGAAAAGAGGGATTGAGAAAGCAATCATTATCCTGATTTTTCATCAATATTCTCATTCTCAAATATTTAAATATTTAACAACCCTACTGTGAATCACCATTTTAAAAATTATTGTCAGGTTTTCTATTCCCATCTGTAACAGGAAAAAAATAACACTTAACCGATTTTAAAATGAAAATACCCAATTCAGTGACCAGTTTAAAATCTAATAAAAAGATACAACTAAATATTAGAAATACCATATTTTATTACTTAAAAACTAGATTAGAAAAATTACCTTTTACTAGAATTTTGTTAGATGGAACTTTGCAAAATCTGAGGAAGTAGATGGTGAGTATGCGTCTTGTGTGAAATCCCAAGGGGGAAATAAGGAAAGCAGGCATTTGGCTTATTGATCATATACTGTCATCCTAACACATTTCAAAATCTGGTGGTTTTGTGGTTAAAGCATTTGACTGCTAACCAAAAGGTCAGCAGTTCGAACCCATCAGCTGGTCTGCAGGAGAAAGATGAGGCAGTCTGCTTCCTTGAAGATTAAAACTCTTAAAGCCTTGAAACCCTATAGGGCAGTTCTACTCTTTCCTACAGGGTTGCTATGAGTTGGAATTGACTTGATGGCAGTGGGTTTGCTTTTGGTTTGGGTTGATGAAGAGCTGAGCCCGGGAGGCTGCTATTTGGGTGATGTAGCAAATTCCACTTCTCCAGGACTGCCAGAAGGGAAGAATCATAAATGGGCTTTAAATTAAAAAGACCAAGATACTAAACCAGTTTCTGAGCTGGATGATAAATTGAAATCAATAAATATAGCTGTACTAATTTGAAGTTCCATAATTGTTTGTGCCTGAGAATGTATACATTTAAAAGGATTTTACAAAGCAATTACCAGAAATGCTTCCCTTGAGAGCAGTATTAGTGAAGGCATTTCCAGTTCATTGGGGCAACATAAACTCAGCCTTCCCACTACAGATTAAGGGGGGGAGGAGGGGAGATCATGAAATCATTGCACTGAGGTGAAGCGTTGTTATTAACCCAAACCATAACTAAAAAAAACTCAGAGCAGTTTCTGACATAGGAAAAATAATTAAACAACAACAACAAAATAGTTTCTAGACTTTCAGGATATAACTGATCTTTTTTCTAATTTCTTTAAACTTTTATTCTGCCTGTTGCCTTAATACCCAGGTGCTTTTTCAAAAGGGTCCTCCAAAATTACTTATCTAGAGCCCCTTGACGAAAGAAATTACTTTGTGTTAATGAGGTTCCTGAGTGGCACAAACAGCTTATACATGGCTACCAGCAGAAAGGTTGACGGTTCAAGTCCACCCAGCAGTACCACAGAAGACAGGCGTGGCAATCTGCTTCCATGAAGATGACAGCCAAAAACCCCATAGAGCGAGTCTTTTATGTAACATGTGGGGTTACCATGAGTGGGAATTGACTCAACGGAAATGGATTTGGATTTTTTAAAGTTGCCATAAAGAAAAAAGTGATAAAAAGACCAAAGCATTGATAAGTTATTGAATAGCAAAGAACCTCAGTCACAGAGCCATCTCCTGATTGACCAAGGTGATGACTTCAAAACAGGAGACAGACTATGATTGGACCAGCATCTCTAATGCTGTGTAAATCAAGAGGCTGGCTTATTTTGCCTAATAACAAAACCATATTTGGTTGCTTTTTTTCTTTTTTTTGTAAAATGAACTCTTTCAGTGAAAATTGGTTACATATGGTTTTAATGGTGTACTTGGACACTGCCTTGCCTTAGACATAGCTCTCTACCTTTCTCTGAGGGCAGGCCCTGCATGGAAACCAGTTTGTATACCATATTTCTTTTTCTCATGTAACACGCCCATGTAAATAACATGCACAAGCATATAGTCTACATAGGAAACTAACATTTAAGGGAGCTGCACAGTTGGCAATAAAACTTTTTGCATAAAATATGATACACTGTGTTGCGTCAAATTCTGGCTCAAAGTCAAAGAGGATTTTAATTACTCATCAAGCTGCCGAATTCTACTAATTACCCTTGTCAGCACATTTCACTGATTGCTGAATAGTAAATAAGCTTCGTATTTCAGTTTGGACCATGATACCTACTATAGATCATTATTTTCCAAACCTCCAGTAGGTTCTTTTGTAAGGGGATGAGGGGACCTAATTCTCCAGGGATACAGTTCAAATGAGCAAAATTGAACTTCAGTTTCAGGTTTTTCTTTACTTAGAATTACTGATAGATTTCTAGGCCAGAGTAGTTGAAGTTAGATTTATTACTTTTACTGTTCAAATACACCCGTTGCCCTCCTTTCTTAGGCCTTCTGAATATACTTAGGCCAGCTTACATAGCCTCTTGCGACAAGGAAATTGACCAACCTAATTTGGTTGGTCCCTGCACCTGTGTATTGTACGTATAAAGTAGGTGGTTACACGTTTGTGTAATCTTTAGATTGCATGAGTGAAATCAGCAGGTTTTTTCAGCCAGCAACCTGTGGGGTGACCTGTACTTTCCCATATTTTACCTAGGTACCCAAGTTGTCATAAAGTTCATTTTTAGAGTCGATTTTCTAAATCCTGTCACTGAGTGAGGCGAATGTGGAGTCTGCTGAATCTAAATTGCTGTGTGCTTTGAAATGCACAGTGTCTTCTTGGTTGTGAGGCAAGCACCTCTCTGAGACATAGTCTCTTATCTCATGCTCTCAGCCTGCACGCATACAAATGTTCCAGGTAGAATTCAGCAGGGGCAATAGCTTTCAACCTTTTGTGGGTAGTAGTGGTTGTATTTGAATGTGCTCACCATATTCTCTCCGTTGTAATGTGGCAGTTTGTTTTTTCTCTGTAGCTGGGTGCTGTCCAAGTGCCTAATTGTTCCCATTTCCCTACCCCTTACCACCCCTTTCTAGCTAGCCTTCTAACTGGCTTTTATTCTTGGCTCCAACTCTTTGAATGATGAAGTGCAAATTCAAGGCCCAGCATGCTATCACTTATCACTGCCTCCCCTGATCTCGCGCTCAGTGTGGGAGCTGAAGGTAAGCCCCAAGTTGGCCAGGTTATGGTGGACAAATAAGAAAAAGTAACCTAAAGCAGCAACTCACAAATGCATGCACTGTTTTGACCTCTAGACAGACTGCCAGAATTTCTCTTTTCTAATTCCTATTTATAGTGATAACATTTTTCTTTTTGTCATTTTTTAAAAGAAAAGAATAGTGAAGTACTTTGAAACAATTGCAGTTCTGATTGTTTTCACTATTTCTATTTGACAGGTTCCAATTCTTTTGAAACTATTGTATTCAGTTATGTACTAGTGTCAATAAAATTGACATTTGTGAAGCAATTTCTGGCCTTTTTCTCCGGGTTTTACTGGGTCTGGTGGTGTGGAGGGTGATGGGTCTTTGACTAACACTAGGTCTTCATTTCACTGAACTGTTCCAGAGATTTTTAAACTGGGACCTTCTTGAGTCTGCCTTTTCCTCCCGTTTTCTAATCTTTTTATACAAGGATCATTGTACTGACCCATAGTCAATGGGCAGGACATCTTTGTGTGTGTGTGTGTGTGTATGTGTTTTTCCCCCAGGTGTGGTGGCTTTTTACACCTGTGTTGGTGACACAGCTAGCTGAGGTTACTGATCAGCCTGGGACCAGAGGTGGGAGTGGGGTGGGTTTCTCCATGGTTTGTTCATACTGGGATCAAATTCATGACCCTCACTTCATCAGCTCCATTCTAAGCTGTGTTATCTTGTAATTTCCAAATGGATATTAATTAATCCAGAGGGAGAGATAAATGTCAGGAAATAGAAGTACTCCTGGAGAACTGCACTTAACTTTCTCGTGGAGGTCCTTCATAGCATGTTGGGTAGCGATGGGGCTGAAATTGTATGTTGAACAATGCGGAAAGCATTTACGTTGTCTTTCTCTAAACTGATAATAGGACTGCGAGTTACTTTAACTCCGTTCACCTAATATTCTAGCAAATCTTCCTTTGAATGAAAAAACATCAGCATTAGGGAAAAACAAGGTTAGGTTAGAAGTAGTTTTTGAAACATCCCACTTAGGTAAGCTGTTGCAGAGTTACGTTGGCAAACGACTTGTGTGCACATCCTCTACCTCCGCTGACTTGTAACGGGTAATATATGCATTTCCATGTTATTTAATATGTTGTCCTTTTCAGAGGAATAATTAATTGCCTGTCACATTTTGACCATAAAAGGGAATTGTGATAATATAATGACCTCAAGCTTTGCATTTTTAAATGATCGTTTTTGCATGTAAATGTGATGCTAGTGTTTCTGTCCCAAACAGTGAGAGAGACATGGAGTGACATCACCAGGTATAACCAGCTCACTTCTGTTCTTTGTAGAATGGGGAGTTAGTTGCTTCACCTTCTTGTTAGCTGTGACCCCATGTATATGACATAGTGTGTCCTAGGTGCACCAGTTGTTTAGATTCCTATTAGTCTAGTTTTTATTTTCTAGTAATTTCCTCCATGTCTCTTTGTGATGTAGACACTGTGTCTTCCTTGAGTAATTCTTAGAAGCAAAGGCAGTAGTTAGGAGATGACACTACTATTTTTGGATACACTATACATTTAAACTGTTTTAATTGTGCTCTAGACAGAATTTTGTACCTTATTGTTAATTATATAACAGGCTCAACTGAATTGTTCCTACTATGGTATCTTAAATAATATGCCAACTGCAACTTTAGAAGGAAAAAAAAAATACCTAGAAAATAACTAAGAATATTAACTTTGCCATGTGATAGTCAACGTTCTAAAGATGTGAAAAGGTGAAAATTGTAAAGGAAAACCAGGCCCCAGAAGGAATTATTATTTCTTTTTCTTTAAAACTTCTCATCCCCAAACAGGCTCCCTGACTGGTAGCCCTCACCTTTCAGAACTGTCCGTCAGCTCGCAGGGCGGGGCTGCACCTGCCAACGTGACCTTGTCGCCCAACCTGAGCCCCGACACCAAGCAGGCCTCTCCCTTGGTCAGCCCACTGCTGAATGACCAGGCTTGCCCAAGGACAGACGATGAAGAGGAGGTCCGCAAAAAGGTACTGATGGGCTCTGGCAAGATGGCAAGCCATGGGGGCTTACTTTCACCTGTTGTTTAAAAAGACAGCAAAACCTAATGGCTGGCTTTCTCCAAGGTGCCACATTACAGACAGGCTCCAGGAAATTGAGTCACAGTGGTGTCACCAACTGATGACTGACAGGCTGCTTGTCACCATGCCCCTTCATATCTAGCCACTATTTTATCTCTCTCTCTAAACAATATAACTTCCATTTCCCAAATAGTGACATAGCTCATGGTAGCTAGGATGAAGAGCACTGTCATTTCTCTTAGGTCTGTTTGCTCAAAGACTGCCTCATTCTGTCATTTTACTAATTACTTAGATTTTTCTGGTGCCCAATTTTGAACAACTAGTCCTCAGTGGTGGCTAAGATGTAATCATTCAATGACTTTGGGGATGGTGACATTTATATAAAAGGAATAGTCCTAGACTGTGTTCTTACCATAGAAATCCATTCTCTTGAATTATTTCATCTCACACACACACACACAAAAGGAGTTTAGCCTTAATATACCAGTTCTTATCATCAGGACATTCTTAGAGACTTACACTCCAAAATGATTATTATGTCTTGTTTCTCTTTATGGATTTTGCAGAGATTCCCAACTGACAAAGCATACTTCATTGCTAAAGAAGTGTCCACCACTGAGAGAACATATCTGAAGGACCTTGAAGTCATCACTTCGGTATGTTTAGCATTTCCCCTAAAGCATTAGGTTATATAATTTATCTCAAATAATAATCTGCTTTATGAGAGAGGCTGTTATGAATTAAATATTGAGCTTTCTGACTCTAATTAAAAGGATTTGGTTCTGAGTTATAGAAATTTGACATTTGTGGTATATTTCATTTATAATATACTCTATTAAAATTTTTATAATTATGATTTTTAACTGCAAAGGAAGTAAGCCTTTAAAGAGGAGAAAATTAAAATGAAACATTTACTGTCTGCATGCACTGAACTAGAACTGCTTCATATTTTGCCTGCTGTCAAATGTAGCCACTTCTTTTTGCTCACAGTTGCCTCAAAGTGAAGAGAAGCCTCGTTTTGTATTTGATAATAAAATGAGCTATGTCTGCAAAATCTGCCAGAAGACTGCCTTTTATTATTTTAATCAGTTCTCCTCAGTCTTGGAAACTCATTCAGGGCATTACAAATGTCTTTCTAAGCCTTGGATTCTAAGGAAGAACTTGTCAAATGGGAAGTAAATTGGAGTCCAATGAGTTTCTGTTACTTAGGAGATGTGTATTGTGATGGATCCTCAGCAGGTGCTCCATAAACATTTGTAGAATTAAATCCCAACTCACCTCACTGAGCTGAGTAACCTTGTGTGACAGAGACTGCCTTATCACCCTGGTTTGGCCTCAGTTACGCTCAGCGTTTTAACAAAGGAACAGAGATCGAAGTTCCTAAAGGAATGAAGCAGGGGGAATTTAGTGGTCGTAAATAAGTGATGATTCAGCAAGTTAGCCAGAATGGAAACTTTGATTTGAGTAGTTGCCTATTTAAGGAATTTTTCCTGGGCCCAATAGATAGATCTTAATCAAAAGGAGGAAAAATGTGGAACAGAACTGAAAATCTGAAAATTCTATTAGAAACCAAACTTACTGGATTTATCAAGACTAACTAAAGGAAGAAAACTATAAAAAGAACTACATCAAGAAACCATAAGAGATCTACATAAATGGAAGAACATCCCCTGCTCGTGCATAGGAAGATTGAACATTGTGAAAATGTCAATGCTACCCAAAGCAATCTATACATTGAATGCAATCCCAATCCAGATCCCATCAACATTCTTT